GTGACTAAATAAAATGATGTAAAAATTTAATATAATATACTTTGACATTTATAAAATAAGTGGTAAAAAAATTGTATCATATTTATTTGTCCATTTTTAAATAATTAAGAAAAAAAATTTGTTTATAATAATATAGTAGGCTATTATATATTACAATTTCAAATATGATAATCTAATCTGAAATGTTTTTTTTTATTAAATATAGATAATTTCTTTTTTTTTCACTGCTTTAGGATTTTTTAAAAATATATCTACTACAATAGGTGATAAACTAATATATATATATAGTATTCATATATATCATATCTTAATATATATAACTAGTTATATCTATTACTAATAAAGATTACAAGACATGTTTCACCTTAACAAAAAAAAATAAATAAATAAAATATAAGATTAAATAATTAGAATAGATACAACTTGATTATAAATTAAAAAATTATTTAATAAGAAATTTTCAAATTGAATTTAATAATTGATACTTATTTATAAAAGTTGAACTAACAATAATTTTTTTATCAATTTTAACAATATTAAACAATAACAAGATAAATATTTGAATTAATAATATTAACTATATTAATATATTAAAAATTAAAAATTTTTTATTCAAAGAATACAATTAGAAAAATGTTATAAATTTTTAATTATTAATTTTAATTATATATGTTTAATATATACATATAGTAGAAATTGGTAGATCCTTGACACAATTGACACAATTATTTGATGCAATTAATTGAGTTACTATTAAAATATATAAAATAATTGAATCAGATGCAATTATTTTTGAGGATTTTGGCAATTAAGTCAACAGCAAAATAATTTTATACCACATATATAGTTTAATATATTAATTAAAAAAGAAATTTAAATTGAATTAATTAAAATTAAAATATATAATCGAGATACAGGTAATAATTAAATTGATTAATTAGTTAAAATAGTTAGGAAAAATAGAAAATCTATTGGATAAAATTGTTAGAAATTTTATTAATTTAATTTTTTTCTAAAAAAATATTTCAATAGATCAATCAAAATAAAATTTAAATTAAATAAAAAATATATTCAAATCCAAAAATAATTAATTAAAAGATTTTTGAAAGCATTAAAAAAAAAAGATATATTTAGTATTTTATTGAAATAAATAAAAAATAAAACATTCAAGATCAAATTAATTTATAACAAATTGTTTATTTTAAATAATCTTGCAAGATATAATGAAATAAGTTAAAATGAATATATAAAATATATATTTAGTAAAACAAAAAAAAAACATTTGATTATTTTCTAATATAAAAAAATAAGAATGAATAAAAAAAAATATAATTAATTTATATAAAAAAATTATAAAAATATAAAATTTCAAATACTTTAACTTTAAAAAATCAAATAAAAAAAATTATTCAGTTTTTAAAATAAAAAAAAAAAATTAAATTGTCAAAAAGATAATCAATCTATATATAGGTTAATAAAAAAAAAGTTTTAAAATGGAAAACAAATTTATAATTATTAAGATCTTTTGTACTTAAGCTTATAAGTTATTATTTAAAATATTCAAAATATAATATAAGTTATTAAGACAATATTTATGAAATCTAAAAATGAAAAAGTTTAAAAAAACAAACAATTATTAAAATACCAATCTAAAAAAAAAAAAGATTTTTAAAAAGTATATTCTATTACCTTCAAATTTTATTAAAAAAAAAATTTAATTAAGATAATCTATTATAAATTATAAATAAGAAAAGAAAAATTATAAATAAATGCAAAAAAGTATTGTAAATCAAGATTAAAAAAGGAAAAAATAATTAAGAATATAAATGTAATTAATATTTGTTAAGATAAACTATAGTAATAAACTGTAGTAATAAACTGTAGGCATTAATTTTGACATTTACTTTTAAATAAGTATACAAGAATAAGTAATTTCCAAAATCATATTTAGAGATAATTTTATCAAAGACAAATATTCAAGTATAAAATCTAAAGTTTGTGCATAAAAGTAATTTAACTATTATGTATTCAGTATTAATATTAAATAAACTTCATACAATATACAGTATGCTTGTTTAATTATGGAAAAAAAAAACTAAAGATAGATTTTTCGATAAAAAATAAATATGGAAAAATCAATTTTACTCAACATGTACAGTATAATAAATCCAGATTAAGAAGTACGTTTACACTGTTAATTTTTATTTTTGGAAAAGTATGTACATTTGCACTATATTAATATTGAAATGGGAAATTTATATAACCAAATGTAGATTCAAATCTATTGACTGTTATGTAGAAAATAATTGTTTTGTTTGTGTCAATATGTTTAAAGTGTGTGATACTTTATGAAAAATCATTCAATGAAACGCTCAGATCGATTTAATCGTCTTGGTTCCTTTGTCGTTATTGGTAATTGCTGCTCTGTCAAAGAGTCTTTAAATAAACTATTTTACGCAAATTTTTGTATCGCATCAATAGCCGACACAAAAAAGTTGGCATTTGTATATGTACGCAACATAAGAGAGGTGCTCTCTCGCATGCATGTGAAAGCATCTTATCGTACCATTTTGTTTATGCATACACGTTCGTTGAATACGTACGTTATACAATGGATTGAGCGACGCACTTTAAACATTTTTGCGGTACAAAAAAAAAACAATATTAGCACGTACTTATTTGGAATTTCAAATTGCTTACGTATAAGGTAACTTTGGGCAATAAACTATTATGGAGTTTCTAAAATTCGAAAAGAGTGAAGAGACAATCGAATTTCGAAAGTTCTAAGGATAAGGTTTTTGATTTTTGATTTTTTTTTTGTTGTCCTCAGGCTCCTGTATATCTTAGAAACAAAAATGAACACGCTTGTCATGCATGTTAGCTTAGGTAAATTAATTTATCATTGTTTTATCAAGTTTAAACGCTGATTTGCAACTTTGCTATTGATATGTAACATACAATCTTATGAGTGATTATTTTGTCTATATTGTATTTAATATGTGCAAAGGAAAAAGAATAGATGCTTTCATACAAACTTAAGAATACATTTGCCAAAGCCTATTCATTGCTTCGAAAGAAACTACTTTAGGAGTTGTGCCCTGCTTGGCATTTATGTCCCTAGATTTGGCAGCCTATTTTCGTACGAATAAACATCTAATTAATTACATACTGTACTGTACATTGTGTGCTGTTACATAATAACGGCACTTTACAAACATCCAAGAAATGATGTGTACAACAATAATAGTGATATTAAATAAAAGAGCCTGTTTTGTATCTTTCCTCTTTATTTCTCTTTTTTTCGATGTATGTTCATAATTACCATTAGAAATATATACAGTATATATATAATTGACCTAATCGACGGCGAATCAAAATTACCATTTTCACGCTAACTTCAGATTCCATATGCCTAGCTACTCTTCCTTACAAATTCTTTATCTCATCCTTCAAATTTTAAGTATCTTTTTTACCTTAATTTTAATTCTCTTTCTTTTCCGCTCCGAGCCTTTCACCACTAAGTGGACCCTTTTTCAAATATGCATTTCGGTGCTTGGCTATTCCCTCAGCCTCATCCCTTCTCTCTTGGTCTACGGTGATCAAATCCAATCCGAGGCCTTTACCACACCCCTCTGCATCATTCAATATAAATTTACCTTATTCTTTTATTACCCATTAATCTTGTTTCCAGCTGTACTTTCGTATTATCTTTGGTTGATGGTGTCTAAACTAAATAGAAAAGTAGAAGGAGATACGCTACGGTGGTTTTCTCTAGGAATTTGGGGATTTTCGATAGTATATAATATTGCAATATTGTTAGTAACAAAAAACCAGAGGCAATTGGGTGTGACGGTGACATGGTTATATTGCAAGTGCGCAGATTTAAATGAAAAATGGTATGTCGATTATGTTTACCTGGCAATAATTTCTGTGGCAACTCTGATAAATCTTATCTTCGGTGGTAAGTTCTATGCAAAGATAATTTCTTTGTTTTATCAATTTTTTGTTCATCAAACTTTTCTCCTTGATTTCAGTTCACTCGACTTACATCCTCTATGTTCGTTGGAGTAATTTCAAGAATCAACCAAATCGTCACACTGCTATCAATCTAGGTCATGCCGTTCGCGTAGCCATCTACATAAATACTCTACTCGCATTGTTGCTAACGTATTTCCTGTCGGATCTTCTTACTCCCAAGAACATATCACAGACAGGAGCTGATGATACAATTTACGTCGGAGATTTTGCATCGGCATTAAGGTATGCTCTTTCGTTTGCGTGATAAAAGACAAATTTACAATATTACAGAATTTTCCCTCATCCATTCTTTTTTAACCATCAGCGGTACACTCCTGTTCCTGATATTTGGAACCACACGCTCGGCCACAATGTTTCTCCCTTGCTGTTACTATTCTCAATCACACCTTTACCTTCCTAACCATGAGAATGGAATAGATTCGAATACTATGAAATCCAATGTGCACATGAAGGTTGATATCTGTAAGGAATGTAAAGAAGAAATCGCAGAGAGGGATTTATTCAAAGTGAAAGAAGACAGTGTTGAATCAAGTACCATGACGCATAATCGTGTGGACAGAGATTGGTTAATGAGTAAGAGTAAGAAAATTAATAGTGTTATGAGCGTAACAAATACGGATTCCGTGAGCAATACAAAATCGATAGGCAAGAATATTATAACCATCGAGAGGGAAGACGTAAATAAAAACGATAAGGATTGATTAAGAAAAATTGCGTATAAATTCAATCAATCCGCTGGATAAATTTAACTCACATTTAACTCACTATTAACTCATTATTGTACAAAAAAAAAACATTTTTCATAAGACAAATTCACTGCAGATTTAACATATTTTCATTTGATATGAAAAAATGTTATCATCATGAGAAACAATTGCATACACAATATGGAAAAATATATACAGTAGTTTCACATGTACAAACATGCGCACGAAACAACAGAATTAATAAAGAAATAAAAAAAAAAGAAAACTCAGTTAATAAAAATAGTTATTCTTAGCAAAACTTTAAAGTAGTTTGTATGCTATATTGGTTAAATATTATATTACTTAAAAAAAACATGTAAACAATGAACATGTCAATTTTTTTAATTCTATTTTTATTTGTATTAATTAATAAACAATTTAATTGATTAAATATAATATATTATTTGTGAAAATAAATTAAAATTATATATTTGAAAAATTATATAATAATATACAGTAAATAATCTTTTTTTTTTTTTGCTTCTAATCAAACTACAATTGAATATGTTTATTTATTTTAATCAGAATAATATGATAAAACAATAAATTTATTATATTATAGTTAGATAATTTTCTAATTGCAAAATATCTGTCAATAAGTTTTTCTATGGATTTATATATAATTATTAATTCTTTAATATCAAAATCATTGTTATTTATATAAACTAGTTATTTACAAAAAAAAGATTTATTAAACTATTATTTTTATATAATATTAATAATCTAAAAATTTTCAATTCTTTTTATTTTTTAGATATACTGTAATTATAAAAACAAAAATAATATTTTTTTTTTTTTAAGCAAAGTGCATTACATGCAAGATATTTATTAAACTTTAGTTTATGGTCAAAAAAAAATAATTTTTTAAAAAAAAAACAATTGTAATTTAATTTAAAAAATTATTACTAACTTACATATATTATTAACAAATATTTTAGCAATTTTGCTTATATATTTTGAATTATTATACTAAAAATATAAATTATTTCCAAATAATTCAATAATTTCTAATTTATATTTTTGTAAAATATTAATATAAAATTTTGCAACCATAATTTTTTTATACAAAATTCTTTTCATGCAAAATTTTGACATAATTTTTAAGTATTCTTCATCAGGAAATTTTTTTGGCAAAGATCTTTGCAAATCTTCGGGTGTAGACCTCCGGAGAAACTCCATCGTCGTTAAAAGACTCCGGAGCAAAAAATTATATATTAACCTCCAGAGATCTTCGATTTATTTAATAGTAATAAATAGTTAATTTATATTTACAT